CACTGAACCACCCTCCGTGATTGGTCGTGAAGCGTCCGCCAGTGCTCCTCCTCCGCCTGGTCTACACTCTGTAGAATCAGAGCGAAGTTCCCCTAGACCAAGCCATCTGGACCAGCCCTCCCCCGCAAAGTCGTCACCGGAAGTGAGCGGAACTACCGAGTACAGCGAAGCATCAACCTCTGCCAGATCTGCTTCACCAACTCCGGATCATGACAATATCGAACAGGAGCAACCTTCTTTCATTCCTCTTGGTGGGCTGATGAATGACTATCCAGCTTCACGTCCCCCAGCCCGACCGCAGCGACCCAAGCAACGACCAGCTTGGCTCGACGACTATGTCTGCGATTATGTGTGTGCTGAATGAATTTTTGTGCCATGTGTGCTCATGATGAAACGTTGCGGGATAGGATGTGTTGTAAATAGTTTTGGTTCCCAGAATTATTTCGTTCTTCATGTTCTCTTTTTTTTATTTTACGGAAGGAAGAAAATGATATGTTGTAAATACCTTTCGTAGCCTGATAGGTTTCGTTTCTTTTTGCTCTCCTTTTGCTTTATTTTATGAAGGGAGAAATGTTGTAATTGAGTTTATGAATCGCCACCAGGGTGCCCCTTTTCCTTTAATCGCCCTTGTGCGCCTGAATAAAGAAGTGTAGCAGCGTTCGTCGGAGCTGGACGTGTCCTTTTTCCTTCGGCGTGTCCGCTCGGCCGCGGGCCGCCGCTGCCCTCCACGCCATCGTCGTCGTACCGTAAGCCTTCCTGCGCATATATCGTAATGCAGTATAGCCCCTCAAACACTACAGTGCAGACAATGAAGAGTCTGCTTGAGAGAGTGGAGGACCCGTACTTGGTCGGCCTACTCCGGTACCGGAATACCCCGGGTCCTAGAAGGCGGAGTGCAGCCGAACTCCTCGTGGGGCGACGTCTACGGACACGGGTTGTACACAGATCTTCTGACTCCTGGCCAAGTCAACAACGTCGCCACTAGACGCGACCATCAGGCCAAAGAGTGCCAACGGACACACTTCGACCGCCGCCACGCGACTTGACGGCTACCCAAACTGAGCCGCGGATCAACTGTGTGGGTGAAGGACCTCAAGTGCCCACGGAGGGCCACCGTCAAGCGGACACACCCAGGTCTTACTGGGTCAGAACCACAACAGGGAACGTCCGTCGCAACCGAAGAGCTCTCACCGAACCCCGCTCATTCTGGTCAACGCGACGGGTTCGTGTTGTCGCCAGCCAAAACGACCGCTCCTGACGGACCTGCCTTAAAGACCGACAACCAGTTCGCGCTTTCCACTTTTCCCTCGCTTCCTCCTCTCCCCCTTCTACGCTGTTCACCGTTGCCTGTTTCCTCCTCCGTCATGGTGATGAGGAGGACCTTCTGCCTTGCAGAATCTCGAGTCTGGTCGTCGGGCGTTAACCGGGGAGGAAGTCACGGAGCACCCACCAACACTGCCGCAGGCTTCGCAGTCACAGACATAAACACAGGACTGCAGGGGCCCCGTGGCAGTGTAGAGGGCTGGAAGAAAAGCGTTTGCCCCCCATCGGTTTTGTGGATAACTACAGACTAGCCGAAGCTCTAATTTATCCCCAGAGGGAGATGTGGCACAGGCCTCCTTTGAACTTCCCGCTTTGTACAAGCGGGAAGTTTTCTACAAGTTGGGCCCGTGGCTTGTGCGGGGCCACGGGGGAATAAACATTCTTTTTGGTTTGCCGTGACAGGAATATGTCGTATTTCTTTCGGGTGTTTGGGCGCCACTGAGCACCGATACGATTTGACAATTATGTTTGTGTCACTTTTTCACAGTACTCCCCCATTCCTTTAATTTTGTACCCAACAACTATGAAGTTTAAACAAGATATGGAGGTGGTCGAAGGTTGAGTGAGGACTTGAGAACGAAACTCCTGTGAGGTGGCTGCCAATGTTCGGCTGGCCCTGGAGGCCACTAGGATTTTTCTTTTCAGGTATCCTTCCCCTACATACTTGTAGTTCTATGTAACGTCGTATAAATATGTCACATTTAGTCCTTTAAATGTTTCCATCCTCGGCGACAACTTTCTGTGGGAGCTTAGCAACAACAAGAACATGTCTAGGTGCCTCAATGAAGAGTACTATATATGGGTCGTGCATGTTTGTGCTTTTAGTAAATATCATTGAAAACCAATCGTTGATGGTGATAACTTGCAAAAACACCCATTCGTTTTCTTCTCCGCGAAACGGGAGACGCGAAAAAAAACAAAGGAATAGTCTGACGCAAATTATATACCGTCAGTGTTCATCATAGACATGCGCTGAAGTTGGCAAGGCACAGAGCACGGGCTGGGCTTCAGACATTAGGTCTGTTCAATTCGCCTGAACTGAACTATAGTTCAACAGTGCAAGAACTGGCACATTCGATTCAACTGGAAGTTGCATGGCCGCTGCACTGGTGCGTTCAATTCATCCCAGTTCGGAAATTAAAAACAGCGCGGAAAGACGAGGACCAGACAAAGAAGTGACACGGACGTAGCGCTGACTTACAACTGAGTTTATTGAACGCAAACTCGCAATATTTATTTGCGGTGTCACGAACAAAAGAACATAAAAAATTCAGCCCATGTGATGTATCACCAATAAAAATAAAACAATGATAAAAAACATTGAAAAAAAACATTGAAAAAAAAAATCATTGAAAAAAATAATAATGAAATGCGCCATGACACAGCCGTACAGAGTATGTGCTAAAAATCGAGCAAGTCACGGAACTAGAAAATTCATCTCTTTGCCTGATAGGGCCACAGAAGGACTGCTTACACATGCTGCACCCAGCCTCGCTATCTCAACAGCCTCTAGAATTTCGCGAGTAAGCTGGTCCCTATGACGCTTAACAACCTCACACCGTTGGAAGTCGGGAAGGCAACCACAGTCGCGGCAATGAATGCCCAGGTGACCAGACACAGTTGTGGAGACACTGTAAGCGTGCTCTCTCAACCTGTCGTTGAGACAGCGGCCCGTCTGGCCAACGTAGCGCCTGCCACACGTCAGAGGGAGAGAATAAACAACCCCCTCCGAATATGGGACAAAGCGATCTCGATGCCTCGTACTGCAAGCCGTGGCCGCCCTCGAAGAAGGGTTAACAGCTCTGCACAACCTGGACAGCTTGTCCGGGGCAGAGAATAAAACGTCGACGTCACACCTGCCAGCAAAGCGTTTTAGGTTGTGGGACAGGCCGTGTACGTAGGGAATAACCACAAACTTTCTTCTTTCCCTTCCCTTTCTGTTGTTGGCCTCTTCTTCACTTCTCATAGGGCTGCTCTTGATATCTTTCAGCAAAGACTCGGCGACCGTTGTTAACACGTGAGAGGGAAACCCAGCATCTGCGAGGCGTTCAGTTTGCCTGTCAAAGCTATGTTTAATTTTATGATAACAAGACCTACGCAGCGCATGTGTATAGCAAGTCCTTGCAATCGCCCGCTTGACAGTTTTTGAGTGAGCGGACTCGAATGGCAACAATGGCTTCCCAGCAGTGACACGGACGTAGCGCAGCAGCGCTACGTCCGTGTCACTTCTTTGTCTGGTCCTCGTCTTTCCGCGCTGTTTTTAATTTCCGAAGTATGTACCAACTCGCCCAAGCCTCAACTTTATCATCCCAGTTCTGAACGAGTTCAGACGCACCAGCTCCGGAGTCAGTTCAGCGTCCGTGCAGAAGTAGACGACGAGAGCAGACGACACTCCTCGCCCGTCTCTGCTCGCGGTGCCATTTATTAGAGCTCATGCTCAAATATCTCCAATGTTTAACAAACGCTGAGACGTACGGAGGTTACATATTTCCTTTCATTTATGAAATAATGTACCCGTGGTGGACACGGAATCTAGACCATAACCTAGGCTCGGAATGTGCTCATTTGTGATATTCTGAGAGCGTTTTGCGCACCTGCTTGCACAGGTTTGGCTCCCTGTGGTAAGCGTACGTTGAAAGATTGACTCGCGTAAATTGTTTCTTTTTGATGCTACGCGGTGCTATGTTAAGAAAAGTACCTCACTCTTGATAGCCCCCGCCTTGAGTAGCTCTTGGATGCAGACTGACGACCCCGGTGCACATGTAGGGATGTAATACATTGACACTCGCATGCCCCATTTCTGAGCATAATACTGCATGTCTTGTCCGCTGGTATTTGTGGATGCCCACTAACGGGTCTGGGAAAAACGCAGAGAATTGGCAATGGCTTGCTAGTTCCATGCGGATCTTTCTTCGGAATCGGAATAAACGCTTCAACTTGACACCAAAATGACGGATCGATAACTGTTTTGGCCAAAATTCTCTCGTCAGGCCTTGGTCTTAGAAAAGACTGCTACTGACCGCGAGCTGCCGCCAGTAACTTCCGACACGAAATCATCCTGATGCCGAGTATCTATCGTCGAAATGTGAAACTCGAAAGACTTGTACTGAATCTACAATTGATAAATGAATGTGGACACTAACGCTTATGAAAACGATAGGCAGCGGACGGCCGTTAAAAATGCGGACAAAAACATTTCGTGCACAAAAAGTACACTGGAATAAAGAAACATTCACAGAAAAGATTTCGTTTCTATACATTAGAACTAAGGAAACGCGATTTGTCTCATCAAACCGCGAATAATTAGATGCAGCATATGACGTGGTGCGGAGAAACAAGAGCCAACAGATGCAGATCATGCAGACGACACCCTGCGCTTCTGCTCCGGAAGCCGATCACAGCGCCAGTCCTAACGCGGCGGCTGCACTGGTTCTACGCCGCCGCTGCACGACTCATGCACTCCTCTGAATTCGGACCAGAGTTAGTTCAGAACTTCTTGGTCGAACCGAACAGACCTATTGAGTCCGGCTACCATCGCCCGAACGTTTGCCAATGCTGCAGGAACGGCCACCGTACCGGGTGCCGCTGGCCCCAGTGACGCCACTGGATTACAAGGTAAAACAGCGCAAGAAAAATGACAGAAGAAACAAGAAAGGCACAGACACAGCGCGTTTTACCTTGCTAAGAAAGGTACTCGTGTGTTGAATATGGGGAAGTCGAGTAGTTTCAGAAAATAAAATCGATCTCACTTACAAAAGCTCGCTGTCGCGGCGAGAGTTGAAAAACAAACCGCCACACCCAGGGGGGTAAAGGTGGGTGAGGAGGAGTGGCAAATCCCGTGCGCCGACATCCTGGGTCCCGAGTGAACGATCGCGAAAGAGAGCGACAGAACACGAGAGAAAGAAAGCAACGTTGCCATGGTAAACGCGAAGAGTGAAAACTCTCAGCAATATAAACAGTGATAATTTAACGTTGTAAACTAAATTCTGAGCTATTCTAACGCTTATAAAAAGCAATAAAGTCATTACGCTGCATTAACTTCCCTTCTGTCGAAATCTCGGAAATCTGGTGGTTGCGCAGTTTCGTATTCCTCCACCGCGCCCAGCCGCGCCCCACCAGCGAAGCCGGGTAAATGGTTTAGTTTAGCGTTAACGCGAGGCCGTACATCTGCGCGCTATGCAAAAAGAAACCTTCGAAAGGAACGCGAGTATTTTTCCACCGGTAAGTTCGTGGATTGTTGAAGTTCACGAAACTGCTCTGATGAACGTTGGATGTAACCGTGTTTGGGACCCAGAGGGTCTGCCTGCATGGTCCGCCGCTTGCGGCAGCCAGAATGTATGGGAAAATGGCGGACCTTTTCCTCTAGATTTAGTATATGATCTCTATGGCCACACCTCCACTGCCTCCACCGTTGCCGCAACTGCAACATTTTGCCGCCAGGCGCGCCACTAAACCAGGTTCTTCGAACCGATGTAAAGGGAGAGCATGCCACAGCATCCATCCACCGGCGGTTTTCGCTCGCTCTCCGTGCCAGCAAAAGCGTAATTGTTTGGCTAACGATTCGCTGTGTCTGATGACGAGAAGAAAAGGGTACTTACTGCGTCGTGAGGGAGTGTAGGGCAATGAAGACGGGAGCAATGCAGTGCGGAGACGATAGCAGACGACAAATGCACGACCCGGCTAAACCGAAACCGAAACTAGCCAGTAACAGTCTTCTGCTCTTGTAGTGCACCTCAATCGCTAGGCGCGCTGCTATTTTGCATATTGCCCATTCTTGACCGGCTGTTTTCAGCCGAAAGAACACGAATTTCGAGCCGCAAACTTTGTTCTGGGTAGTTTGGCTTATCTAGTCGTCTACATCGCACGAGATGAGGACAAAACGAGAGAGACACAAAGAGAGGAACAGCGCTTGTGCTTGTCTCTTTGTGTGTTTCTCGGTTTGTCCTCGTCTCGTGCGCTGTAACCAGTGTTGCCACTGTAGTGGAACACGACACGCAGGGTCCGAGAGCCGGTGACGAAGTAGAAGCAGCTCGCTCCCGGCGGCTTTATTTATAACCCACTTTACAAACACGTGGCTCCCTCTAGGTTAGTGGCGCTACTGTACATCTCTCCTTCTAACAAAGACTAGAGCCACTCGATATGGCAGCGTAGCTGCCAGAGTAGCGCCACGCTTTTCCCTGTGCCGCCTCTCACCGCGATTGGTCACACGCGGTACCATAGCAACGAGCTGAGCTGGCTCGGTTTCCGTAACAACCGAGTGACGACTCGTCACGTGACCTCTCAAGAGCCGTGATGTCATCGGTAAGATGGCAGCGCCCAGAGCTGGTGGATGCGAGTTTGTTCGGGGCCCTTAGTCGTGATGTGCCGCAGCTTGTCGACGATTTAGGGCTTCTTCGTGCTTTCTGACGTAGGTATAACATGAAGATCTGAAAGAAATGATACTTTATACCAGGGGTGGCCAAACCGCGGCTCGCGAGCCGCATGCGGCTCTTTGCTGGTCCAAGTGCGGCTCGCGGATCCCTCATGAGGGGACCCCCCCCTTCCCGCATTTCCCCAGGAAAAAAAGAAGGGATTTCAGGCAGAATGAAGTGCGACTCGGGGTTTGGCAGCCTTGTACCTCCATACGTACTGTCGTACAGCCTTGTGCACTCCTACGTACAGTCAGACTCTGAACATAATTTAAACTTGCCCCCCCCCCCCCCCCCCCCCCCTTCCCCCCCCGTGGCTCTTAAAAGTTTCGTGGTTTCGTTTGCGGCCCTGGTTGGCCTGGCCACCCCTGCTTTATACCCTTTCTGTGCAAGATCGCTCTGGATATTAGCACCTGTGCGACAGCATCATTAATATCGCCTTAGCGGTGCTCGGGTTTCCGGATGTGTTTGAGGATCGATAAGAAATTTAGCATGCAATTTTCGCATTCTCTTAGCTTTATTTGAACGTTGGAGTGTCTGAGAGTCGATGCGAAATCTATGCGTCGCATGTTGGGCCTTGGGGAATTTGTTTTTTCCCCAGGTAACCGCATGATCACCAACTTTTAGCGAGGAAGCTTTTGCGATGTTTACGTTTTGCACTAATGAGCCAGGGAACCTGGGTTCAATCCCCACCCCTGCCCGTTTCGATCTGGATGAGCATCGTACCGGCCTGCGGTTGTGTATCACTACTGCGTGGTGCACCTTAAAGACCTATAGACCCCGGCCAGGCTAGCGGTTATACTGCACTGACTAAATTGCTCATCTACAGCGAGTGACTCGTCGCAACTTTGAAATGGCTGACCTACTACACGCTGTATAAATATTCACACAACTCCCAAGTATACTAATCAACGATTTTACGATATTCGCAGCGCAAGTTCGTCTGTTTCTTTTAGTAGGGATTGTGGCGACGTCAGAACGCCGAGCTCTGATTGGTTCTGAATAAAGAATAGTGGGTAGACCTCAATGCAGCTCGCTTTTAGGTCTACTCACTATCCTTCGATCGGAGCCACTCAGATCTCGGCGTTCTGACGTCACCACAACCCCTGCAAAAAGAAGCAGACGAACTTGCGCTCCACATAGCTTTTGGGATAAAATTTTCGCATTTTTCTAGTTTCTTTGAAAGTCTGAATTTCTGAGAATCATAACGAAATGTATACGGCGCGTGTAGGGCCTAGGGGAAATTTTTTCAGCCCTGGGTCACCGAATAATCACAGCATTTTTTAGCGAGGAAGCTCCTGCGATCTTTAACCTTTTTTACTAATCGCCAATTTTACGAAATGGCAGTTCTGAAGCTTTTGATATAACTTTCTTTCGTTGCAATAGCTTGCATTTGATCGCAGTGTTTTTTGGTTTGTTTTTCAAGTGAAAAACTGTCGTTTGCTCAAGTGACGTGTATGAAATGTCCTGCTCTATGACAATGCATCAACACATACTATTAAACTTAGGTGCTCAGAGGTGTGTTCGTCTTTGTAATTAACAAGTTACAGACGTATTTATTTCTTACAAGTGTAATATTTATTTTCTGTAGCTGGGCCCGTTTTGTGCTCCTTAATGTCAGTGTGCTATGACGTTATCATCATGTGTGTATGGTTCTAAATATCCTCTGTACAGTGCCTACCAAGGCCAAAATGACGTCAGCCAACCCCAACACACGCATTGGACACGAAAACTGCGTCGCTCGGATGTATGCGCTCGTCAGCAATCAATTCGTCCATGGATATTTGAATTCACGTTCCTGGCGAATGAGTGCCCTGACGGAACTTATCATTACTTGCGAATGCCAAGTTCTACGGTGTGCTTAAAAAGCACGGTGAAAGCTTGGGGTCATCGCACAGGTGCCCTAGCATGTCACGACTGCGTGATTTCACAGTTCTCTTCTGAGTTGAGGATTATAGGTAAAGAAGAAGTTTAAAAATAATTTCGTGGCCCCTTTAACACCGATATGTGTGCTACACCAGATAAAAATATTGACTTTTTGAATGCCGGTAAACTTCCGAACGACCATTTGGCCTGTCGGCAAGAACACCTCCTATCCGGCGTCCGTCTCTTTTGATGGCGTCAACAGTTCTCTAGAGACCACCATGCCGTCCTTCTCGGTTGAACCCCGTCGACGTCGCTCCTCACCAGTCGGTGAGGAAATCTCATCTTGAAGAGATGATCGGGTCTTGAAGAAGTATGATGCTAAACATATATACTCGCTCACTATGGTGCAGTCGAGCAGCAGTCATGTTCCGAGCGAATCGTCCTGTCGTGGCCGGCGTAATCGGATTTTGTTCCATCGGAGCGAAGTCCGAAAGTACTAGGACGGTGCGTTCGTCCCGCGAAGCGGCCGCCATCCCGGCGGCGCCGAAAATTACTCGCCTTGTCCGTGCACGTACGATGCCATAGCAGCTATCGTCGCCCGACAGTCTCCGGGCTGCAAATCGTCTCACTTTTCAGAAAAAACAGGCACCGTTTTTCCAGACGTTATTGCCGTACCGCGATGCCAAGCGTCTTATACCACTTTTCAATGAACGAATGGAGATATCAACTAGACTACAAAGGTTGCCGCCCGGCGTCGCTAGAAGTACGGTTACCATGGCAACCTCCCAGGCCCAAAATGGAGATCACTATCAGCGCTTCTGACGTCGTGCATCTAGATAATTTTGCGTCGTGTCGCTACTCTGGCAGCTACGCTGCCATATAGAGTGGCTCTAACAAAGACCGAAGATACCAGTGATCTCAATCAGTGGAAGATACCAACGGGAGCTCGTGAGGGCGCGTGTATTGACAGTTCGTGGCGGCGCTGTAGTCGAGTTAACCGAAAAAAATAAAGCAGCCCGCTTTTTTTTTTTTTTTTTTTTTCACTTTGAGCGGTGCACGTGTCGGTACTCTGTTTCACCTTATACTGCACCGCAGCGAAGGCTAGAAGCGCGAGCTCATAGCGTTGGCCGCTGCTTTTGGTGCACGAGAGCTTGTGCCGCCGAGATGTGCCCTAAAGCAAGGAGCTCGCGCATGTAGCATTTCCTGCGGTACAACACTAGGTAAAATAGAGTATAGGGCACATAAAAAATTTTAAAAAATATCGGTATTTTCAATTTCTTTTTAATTTTTGCGGTAGGCAAAGGGTTAATGAACGGTTTAATGGGCCATGTTGCAATTGCAGCTTTAAAGGGAGCCATTATTAAAGGCCAACCCAATTCAGAAAGTTCGCGAACAGACAACGAACTTTGAGCGAAAGCAACAAGGCGGTCGTTTTGGTTGTGTT